GCCGTTTTTTTCTAGTAGTCAGGTGTTGCTGTCAGCAAAAGACATATAATATTTTCTGGGGTTATTAGTTTAACCTAGAGGGCAAACATTATACAGTGCACTCCCAATTATCCAAATAGCCTGGGGGACGTGGATTTGCTTTGGATAATTGGGAGCTGGGATAATCGAGACAGGAGGAGCCTTTCAGCCATTCAGCAGCAGGACACCCTCCGCCCAGGGCTGGGATCTCCTCCTTCCTCCTCCTTGGAGTATTGGCTGGGGGTCGCTGCTCTGCCCCACTGCACCGCCCCACGGCAGGAGGGCTGCAGAAGGCTCCCTGAGGTGACACCCAATCCCTGCAGGCACAAGGGGCAGGGCAGAGTGGATACCCTCTGGCCAGGAACCTGCTCTGCCCTGCCAGGGCCACAGCCTTCCCTGCACCTTGTACCTGCAGAGATCCAGGGTCACTGGCCCTGCAGCAGCATAGGGAGCCCTCTGCAGCTGCACTGTCCTGGCCCTGCTCACTCACGCCTGTGAGAGCGGGGCTGCAGAGGGCTCCCTGCATTGCCGCAGGAGCCATTCAGCGCCAGCAGGGTGGCCTCTCCCGCAGCCAGCTCATCCTCCTCCTTCTCTTTGCAGTACTGTCTGGGGCCCTCTGCTCTATCATCAGAATTCCTTCCTTGTCCCCCAGCAGGAGCTACATGGGGGAGAAGGAAGGAGTTCACATAATACGGAGGTTTGGATAAACAGGAGTTTACTGTATTATGATTTTATTACAAAAAAGTGATAGACCCAGAGCTTCAGCCAGTGTAAACCAGCAGAGCTATATTGACTGTCCCAGAGTATCCAGTGCTGCGGTCCTTGCACACCAGAACTCCCTCTAACCTTTATAGGAGATCTGGCTGCACGGGAGTCAGGAGCTTTTGAAAAGCCCAGGACATTTAAATGGTGGGGGCACATAACAGCCAATCAGCTAACCTGATCCCCCAGCCAATGGGAAGGCGGTAGACCTAGGAGACGGGAAGAACATAAGAACGGCCATACTGCGTCAGACCAAAGGTCCATCCAGCCCAGTATCCTGTCTACCGACAGTGGCCAATGTCAGGTGCCCCAGAGGGAGTGAACCTAACAGGTAATGATCAAGTGATCTCTCTCCTGCCATCCATCTCCACCCTCTGACAGACAGAGGCTAGGGACACCATTCCTTACCCATCCTGGCTAACAGCCATTAATGGACTTAACCTCCATGCCACCATCTTGCCATGCATGCAGTCTCACACTCCCTCCCACCACTTCAAGGCACCGTGTTACATTCCCTGCAGTCCATCCAAGACCCCGCCTCCCATTGACTGTGGAGGAAGAGGGGACATTGCATGCAAGTTTGTAATAAAATATTTAATAAGCAATTAGCTCTTTCCTTAAAATCATAATGATCACTTTTTAATTAAAGTTATTTCTACCTCGCAGATAATCTCCCAAGACTTGCTTCATTAAATTTCCTCATTAAGTCCCAGCTTTCCAGCAAGAATTCTTACATTTGCTTTGTGTGATATATTCGATCTGCTGATTATCTGGCAACTTTTACAGACCCATGATTATAGCTGCCCTTTCTTTTCTGAGCCTTAATCCTAGATACAGCACAAGTATATTTATTTATTATAGATTTATAACAATGCTAAGAAGAAGACCAACACATATGCTCTACAGTGCCCTTGACATAGCTTAAGAAAACATCCTAAGTGCAGCAATGTAAAATAAACACAAATTCCCCTCACACAATTATAGGTCTGCCCACACTCCACCCATTTCGCCGCATTTTTCAAACACCTGGGGGAAAAGATGGACCTTGCAACTCATCTGTTCTTTTTTATGTTATTTGGGAGCCATAAAGAGAAACCATGTAAGCAAATAAAAAGGCTGGTAATCAAAGGTGACATTTCTTAGATTGTAAGCTCATTGGGGCAGGGACTGTCTTTTTGTTCTGTGTTTGTACAGCACCTGCCACGGTGGGATTCTAGTCCATAACTGGGGCTCCTTCGTTTTACCGCAATAAATAAATTAGCAAACCAGATCAGATATCAAGGTCCATCCAACAATATAAATGTTACTCACATGGTAACTGATAATAGGGTACAAATGGCAACAGAAAACAGTAAACTTTACCTTTATTTATTTCAATACATTTCAGTTATGGGGACTATATTGCCAAGTAATTTACATTATCGATTTCAGACCAGTAAATTTTTCCATAATGAGGATGTCTTCATTTGTTCAATCACAATCTGATAGAAGGCATGCTAGGCACCCGCCATTAGTGGAATGAAGTGCCTGACTGTGATCAACAAAAACTCTAAATAGGATTGACCTTTTCATCCAAGTGTTCATAACTAGCTCTTATTTTTAGCTGTGTTTCAAAACAGAAACATCAATGCTGCAGTGGAACACACCTTCAGAATGAACACCAGCTTCCTCATAAACAGTTGGGAATCATCTGGCCCCTGAGGGTTGTGTGGGACAATACACGTGGCAAAATCAGTGTGCATCAGATGGCAGATGCTGAATGTCTAGTCAGATGATAATGATTCTTCAATTGTAGTTCAGGGCTGGGGTATTTTGGAGGTTTGGGGTTTTTTGTTTGTTTTTCGAAAGGAAGATATAAGTTAACCTGGCCTCATTTTAGCACATAGAGTCATCAATTCACATGAAGATCTTGTGTGTGCACCGGACGCTATTTTCTCAGACATTCAGGAGCTTCTGTATGGACCGCGTATGATGGTATGGTGCTCACCTAGTGGAACGTGACCAGGAAATGGGGCACTTCCAATCGGTTCAAAGAGCTTCAGATTCTCCCACAGGAGCACAGACAGGCCAGGGAAGGGGCAGCTTGCTCCCAGCAGCAATAACCCACCCAGAAGCCTCCCCTGCATGCACACACAAAGACCAAAAAATTGTCCTGTGACCCACCAGACTTTGTTGACATATCTCACAAGCCTTTGGGGCCAGCAGAGGCATGTGGGTTACGGTGGGTCACAGGAAGATTTTTCAGCCATTTTGTGCGTTGTGGAGCCAAAGGAATGGAGAGCCAGCCTGGGGTAGAAAAGGCCCCATTATTATTTACTTAGGCTAGGTCTACACTACTGCTTGAGTCGAGCTAACAGACTCAAGCAGTAGTGTAGACTTAGCCTAAGTAAATAATAATGGGGCCTAGAGGACTAAGAGCCAAGGTTATTATGGCTACTGTCCTGCTTTTTACTTGAGTTGGTATCCGCTGTAGTTGCTCTAATATGAGAAATGTATGGACTTACGGGATCGAAGAGAAGGAAAGATGGTCTTGTAGTCAAGCGATCAGGATTGTATCACCAGCTCTGACATGAATTTTTGGGGTAGATCATCTCACTGGGCCTCCATTTCTGTAAAATAGGGATGATAATATGTCTCTCTCTTACAGGGGTATTATGAGGTTAATTAATTAGCATCAGTAAGGACTTTCAGAGAGTCTAGGCTGGAAGGTGCTACAGAAATGGGTTTGTTGTGGAATTGTTTCAGGCTAAATAAAGTTTTTGTTTTCAAACAAACAAACTCTAGGTCTGGCTCGGCAGTGGTGGGAGAATGAGCTGGCATGCAAAAGATTGGGTGCTGGGCCCAGCTTGGCAAGAGATGGAAGCGCTGCATCATTCACGTGCAGCTGGGTGGATAGGAGGAGAGGAAGATGAAAGAGCATGTAATTTATTCCTAGATTTTAAAGCCAGAAGGGACCACTAGATCATCTAGTCTGACCGGCTGTATTGCACAGGCTATAGAATTTCACCCAATTACTACTGCACTGAGCCCAATATTTGGGGTTGGCTAAAGCATACCTTCCAGAAAGGCATCCGCTCTGGATTTGAAGACACAAAGAGACAAAGAATCCATTGCTTCCCTTGGTGGTTTGTTCCAGTGGTATCACCCTCACTGTTACAAATGGGAGCTTTATTTTCTAAATTGAAATTATCTGGCTTCAGCTTCCAGCCCTTGGTTCTTGTCATGCCTTTCTCCACTAGATTAGAGAGCCCTTTAGAAGCCGGAACTGAATCCCTGTGAAGGAACTTATACACTGTGATCAAGTCACCTCTTGATCTAATTTATGTAGGACTCTAGCAATGCACTGTAGTCATGGCTGTGCTGAGTGTCTGCATGCAGGCGCTGGCTTGCAGTCCTCCGGCTGCTGAGGGATTGTTGCTGTAACAGCAAAGAGGGACACTAAAGGAGGATGGGAGGCTTGAGAACACAGGCCAGGGAGGGCCCAGTCCTGCAAGACGCTGGGTGCTCTTACAGGACCCGAAGGAACGCCGCACTTTGCAGAGTCGGGCTCCAAGGGCCAAAGTCAGATTCAGTAAGAAAGCGAGTACAAGTTCATTGTACAAAATGGAGGGAATGTGCAAAAAAAGGAAGGGCATTGTGTTTCTAGAGCTCAGTGTGATGTTTTCATGTGCTGCACCTCCTCTCCACATGGCAGTGAGGAGCAGGATGTAAGTTCCCTCTAAGGGTACCCTATTACCAAACAGCAATCGTTTGCTTGTGATAGCGGGCCAGATTCTAGTCTCCCTTCTGCCAGATTGATGTCTTGGTAAATCCAGGGAAGTCTCTGGCCTTACACCACTGGAGGGGAGCTCAGAATCTGGCCCGCCATTTGTAGCCAATAGTGCAGAGCGAACCCCATGACAAGAGATCTGCCCTTTCTCCTGTACACAGGTACCCACCTCCCCCAGCAGCATACAACCTGCAGAGGCGATTGCCTCTCCAGAGGGCCCAGTTCTCCCCAGCGGGGGCTTCCTCCCATGTCACCACATCGTGGCAAAGGCTCTGGGGGAGGCACCCACTTTCCAAGGCAGCAGGGGATAGCGGGCACCGGGCAGAGACTGGAGGAAGGGAGTGTTGTCTGGCACCTCCCCCCGCCAGGCTCCCAGGGGGTGGCAGCCCTCCCCGCCTGGCCAGGCTGCGAACCCGGCCCCAGTGCGGGTCCCACCCCCGGCCTTGACGCCAGCGCGCTAATGAAATGCTAATACCCGGGCGCCGAGCCGGTCGCTGCCGGCACCAATAAAACCCGGCGCGGAGCCGGGGCTCTGCCCGGTGCCAGTCCGCAGCCATGCAGAGCGCAGCCCCCGCGCCGGCCGCCCCCGCCCTGCACCTGCTCACCTCCTACTTCATCGACAGCATCCTGGGCCGGAGCCCCGCCGCCAGGCGGCAAGGTGAGCGGGACCCTGCCCGGGAGCAGCCGGGGCGAGGCGCCCTGCCAGCCTCACCCGCCGGGGATCGATGAGGGGATCGGGGCGCCCTGCCAGCCCCCACCCGCCGGGGTGGATGGGGGGGATCGGGGCGCCCTGCCAGCCCCCACCCGCCGGGGTGGAGGGGGGGGGGGGGTGCCGCCCCCCCGGGGGATGGGGGGGATCGGGGCGCCCTGCCAGCCCCCACCCGCCGGGGTGGATGGGGGGGATCGGGGCGCCCTGCCAGCCCCCACCCGCCGGGGATGGATGGGGGGGGGATCGGGGCGCCCTGCCAGCCCCCACCCGCCGGGGATGGAGGGGGGATCGGGGGCCCGCCAGCCCCACCCGCCGGGGATGGTGGGCCGCCCCCGCCGCACAGGGGGATGGGGGGGGATCGGGGCGCCCTGCCAGCCCCCCACCCGCCGGGGACGGATGGGGGGGGGATCGGGGCGCCCTGCCAGCCCCCACCCGCCGGGGACGGATGGGGGGGGGATCGGGGCGCCCTGCCAGCCCCCACGCGCCGGGGACGGATGGGGGAGATCGGGACGCCCTGCCAGCCCCCACCCGCCGGGGACGGATGGGGGGGGGGATCGGGGCGCCCTGCCAGCCCCCACCCGCCGGGGACGGATGGGGGGGGACCGGGGCGCCCTGCCAGCCCCACCCGCCGGGGATGGATGGGGGACCGGGGCGCCCTGCTGGTTCCCCCAGTGCGGAGCTCCCCGGGGCAGCGCAGAGGCCGGGCCCCCGGGTCATTCTCCCGCTTCTCTCCCTCTCCCCAGGCGGGGACCCCACGGAGCCGCCCGAGCCCCGCCCCGCGCCGCTGGCGGCAGAGAAGCGCCCGGTCCCCGGCGCCTGGGCGGCGGAGGACGCGGCGGAGGAGGACCCGGCGAGGGGCAGCGGCGGCCCGGGGGAGCCGGCGGCCGGTCTCTCCGGCTCTGCCCCCGCAGCCGCGGCCGAGGCGCCGGGGCCGCTGAAGCGGAAGCAGCGGCGCTATCGCACCACGTTCAGCAACTTGCAGCTGGAGCAGCTGGAGCGGGCGTTCCGCAAGTGCCACTACCCCGACGTGTTCACCAGGTAGGAGCGGGGCCGGGCCGCTCCGCCAGGGGCCACCCCGCCCCAGCGCGGCCCGGCCCAGCCCTTCCCAGCAGCCCTCCTTTGGGAGGATCGGGCCCTGACTGCGCGCTCTCCCCCAAAAGTTTCGACTGGGTCCAGGGGGCTTCAAAGAGAGATTCCTCCCCCGAGGCAGCGGGGCCAGACCTTGAAATGGTCACTGCCCTGTAAATGCCACTCTCGGGTGCAGGGAATAAACCAGACTGAATGAACCCAGGGTATGTAACGACAGGGAGCCCCCAGGAGAGCGAACAGTGAAAGGATAGGAAAAGCACTTGAAGCAATGGGGAATAGCTCAGGGATGGACGGTAATCGCCAGCTTTAGAGGAAGAGCCGGAGCACATGCGATTCCGCGCTCGCATGAAGTGGGAATCAAGGTGAAATCAGGGCACTATGGTGTGCGAGGGGGTCTCAGATCTTACATCCCCTTACTGCTGTCTCAGCGGTCCTAATGCAGTTACCGGGGTGTGAGCTGGGGGGGTGTAAAAACCTCCCAGTTGAATGTGACTGTTTATATATTCTCAGACTGGGAGGCACTATGCAGCGGCTTCTAGATTAGAAATCACCTGTAAAGAGCAGGGGATCTGATTTGGCTTTTAATGAGCTCTCAAAAAGAAAAGGTGGACTTGTGGCACCTTAGAGACTAAGAAATTTATCTGAGCATAAGCTTTCCTAAGCTACAGCTCACTTCATCGGATGAACTCTCAGTGTGTGATGGGGCCTGATGAAGCCAACCCTTTTTTGTGACTAAAGATTGAAATACTAAATGATATTTGGCTCTTCTGCAGAGAGGAGCTAGCACTGCGTCTGGATTTAACAGAAGCCAGAGTTCAGGTGAGTAACAGGTACTAAAGAACAGGGACCTAGTGTTGACGGAATACACTGCCTTTTGATATGTATAAATATTCTTAGCTTAAAATTAAGTGTTAAATGTTTTCTTCAGTGCTGTTGGCTTTTTTACTTTTCCAGCTCACTCAGGTTGAGAAGTGTTGCTGTAAAGGATGTAAAAAAGCTAGCAGCTGTTATTCCATATTATCCGACAAAAGAGGACCAAATGCGATCAGAGCTTTGAATTTAAAAGAAGGAAGGAGGAGACGTTTTTAGTATCCCACCCCCCCAAAACCAGAAACATCAAAATAAAATATAGTAATTGTCAGATATAATATCAATACATTTCAGCAAACAATAAATGATCATTTAAAATAGGCTTTGCATCTTGTCTAAACCAGTGGTTCTCAGCCAGGGGTACATATCGCTGAGGGTACGCAGAGGTCTTCCAGGGGGTACATCAACTCATCTAAATTTTTGCCTAGTTTTATAAAAAGCACTAGCAAAGTCAGTATAAACTAAAATTTCATAGAGACAATGACTTGTTTATACTGCTCTATATACTATACACTGAAATGTAAGTACAATATTTATATTTATTTTATAATTATATGGTAAAGATTAGAAAGTAAGCAATTTTTCAGAAATAGCGTACTGTGACACTTGTGCTATTTTTAATGTCTGATTTTGTAAGCAAGTGGTTTTTAAGTGAGGCGAAATTTAGGGGGACACAAGACAAATCAGACTCCTGAAAGGGGTACAATAGTTTGGAAAGGTTGAGAGCCACTGGTCTAAACTATTTAAACATCTGTTTATGGATGTAGAAGTGGATTTGAAGGAGTTGTGTGCATATTGTTTAAATGCTATTTTATATTTAAATCTTAAAGTTCTGAAACAAGCCAACAAAAGTCTAAAGATTCACAGAAAAATTTGATGCTTTTTCACTATAATTTCCTCCACCGGAAAAAATATTTAAAAACAGAATTGGGGACAATAGTATTGTGTCGGAGTTCAGAATGTAGATACATTTGTAATTGTCTGACATTTGTCAGCTAGTGTTGCAACTGCACCGATATTTGTTTTTTAAAGAAAGGAGAAATATCCTGGACATGTCCTCCCTTATTAAATCTGAGACAAAACCACTAACCATAACATTTGAGATAGTAGCCTTTTCTAGATGTACACTTAAAAATGCATTTTTACCACTGGTCTGTAATGGTCCAAAATTAAATGCACACTGGCATTTTTAGAAATCTCTGTATTTAGTTTTTGTAAAAGTCCACATTAGCATTGCAAAAATATTCATGCAGTTTCTTTTGCAGTGCCAAAATCTGATGTTTTGGTTTTTGACCAAAACAATAAAAGGACCCAAAATGGTTAGATCGTGTTGTGAACCAATGATTAGTTGAATATTGTGTTCTACATCTAAGCAATTATTTATGTAGTTCACAAAAGTATTCATTTACCATCTCCTGCCCCAATTTAACTTGAAAATGTCTGCACTGTTTTTTAAAAAATGGTTAAAAGATTATTCTGAGACTGAGATGAGAATGTTTACTTGAAAGGAATTTGTATTACTAGGTTGGGCAGTTATAATGGAACATCAGACAAAACCTTAAGCATACAGGTGCAAAGATTGTGTAACCAATCTTCCATACTGCAGTCTTCTAAAGAAGCCTGTCCTTGGTTCTAAACACCCATAATTAACAGTTCCTTTTAAAAAAGTATTAACTCTGGTATTAACTCATTGACTCTGTTAGCTTTAAAAAAAATAGTGTATACATAGCAAACATTAAATCTTGTTAAAAATTTAGTTTCAAACAGATCATTAAGGGTCCAAATTAGCATAAAACCAATCAAGTTATACTAACCTCCGCACATACTGTACATCGGATATTGAATGAATTACTTTGCATGTCAGTCCAGCTGTAAGCTGCAGTCATAACTTGGCTCCTAGCACGTACTGTTCAGTTTTCATGAGTATGATATGCTTTGCAGCCTCTTCCCTGATTTGGCAGGCTTACTCACAGACTCATCTCTGTTTCTCCTCACACTCCACCAGCGGGGCCAGATGCTCAACTTGTGTAAATTGTAGTTCAATTGAAGTCAATGGAGCAATGACAGTTTACACTGGCTGAGAAGCTGGCCCCAGAAGTCTTGAATTTCCTCATCTTTCCATATTTTAACACTTGGACCCAGATCCTTAAAGATAAGTAGGCTAAAATCCATTGATGTCAAGTGGAAGTTAGGAGCCTAAATACCTGTGAGGATCTGGGCCTTGGAGACTGGGAAAGAGAACTTCCAGCCATCAGGGAAAGCTCTTAGACAATTTATATATTACATCCAGTGCTCAATGATTTTATACGTGTGAGCAAGCTTTGTCACCTTTTTCATCTCAACCCCACAGCTAAGTTATTTTATGAACTTTAAGGAAAGAAAATGCCCCCACACACACACACCCCAACATAAATATCACCAATGCTACTAGTAACTAAAATACCGTAACACATGACAGCCACACGTTTCTCCCGTAAAATGAACACGGATGCAAAACTGTTAACCCCACCCATCATTTCCCCAGTCCCATTCTCACCTTCTCATATGGGGCTTGCCAATTGCATGCAGTTGGGTTGCACTGTTCGATGTCTTTTTTGAGACATTGGCATACGGCAAAAGGGATCATGTTGATGATTTGAACCCAAGCTTCCTATGAATGTCATCAAAAAGAACAGAACTTTCAGTGGCATAGCCACGTAAGAGTTCTAGGCAAATATTGAGAGGAAAGATATTCCAGCATCATAGAATTCAAGGCCAGAAGGGACCATCAGAGTATCTACCCTGAGCTCTTATATATCACAGGTCATCACCACCACTCAGCACCCATACATGAAACCCAACAACTGAGATGAGACCCCAGTATTACAGCCCTCAGGAGGCTAGACTCTTATGAGTCATAGGCAGAGTGGTTTGGTTGCTAAAATGAGATGGAGGTTCAATTCCCTGCTCTGCCATAGACAAGTACCTTGGGCAAGTCACTTGGTCTCTGGGTCTCATTCCCCCAACTGTAAAATGGACATAATAGCTCACCCGGGTATTGTGAGGATAAATACACTAAAGATTCTGAAGTGCTCAGATAGCAGGGTATGTTTACAGACCATTTTAAAATATACTGTAATGGTATCTTCCTGACCTGCTCAAAAGTAACTCTCTGTGACGCTAATTTAACGCAGAGTTGTCATATCTGAGGCAGCAGAACAGCCCATTGCTTTTCAAACTGATATTTGCTTCTCTGGAGAGACACCTGCTGTACCTCTTCCTGGGGCAGTGGTTTTTATACACACAGCCAGATAAAATGGGGAGCAGGCACAATATTTTCTCTTATCAGAGTCAGCAGAAACTGTTGCATTTCATTGAGTCCTAATTGGAAGTGACCCTGCAAGAAAGAAAAATGGACAACTATCTTATTCCCATCTCATTCCAGAATGCACCACGTATTTCAGCTATTTCTCCCACCTAGAGAGATTTCCCATGTAACCTCTTTGAAAATGCTTCCCAGGGGACCCATATATTTTTCCATACCATGGGAAAGGAATGATAGGAAAGTCTGGTAAATCCTGTCCTGCTTGGAAGCCATCCTTTATGGACTTCCAGCAGCATTTTTGTTTGAGTCCATACTTCGCTTCTGTTAACAGGCTTGTTTCTCATTATTAGGGTAGATCATTGGTCTGGGGAGAAAAAATAGGAACATCTTAAAAAGTTCTAACCTGAAAAAGTTCGAAACATCAACTGGTTGATTCGTCACCATGGGTATCATTGGTAAAGCACTCACTTATAAAGTAATAAGGATTGCTGCAAACTGAACATCGTTGTGATATTATTTGCTAATAATCCCGAGATCAGTCTCAGCAACAAAGATACACTATGGCTAATCACAAATAAAATATAACTTGTTTTTTATGTATCAGAAAGTGTTTTAATTCACATGATTTTGAGGGGATTTAAAGTCTCCAGAAAAGACTAAATTGAAAACTGACTTTACATTCAGTCAGCTCTTCTCTTAAAATTGCATAGTTAAAGTTTTTAATTATTCTCAAAACACCAAGTACTTCTAAATTTGGATTATGAATGATAATTTCAATTTCTAATGAAATTCTTGGCATAGGAATAACTTTTAGGATACATTCAGAATCTATCAATAATTACAAAAATAACATGCAGTATTTAATATACCCTGGTTTATAGTCCATTCTTGTTAAATTTAAAAACTGATCAAAACTGTAATGACTCCAGGAGTCTACAATTCACTCTTCTTTATTACATACCTCTAACACATTATTCTGAATATATTTAGCCCAAGAGGCTAAACCCTATACATGGCATATTCCATGCTGCAAGTTTGTACACATCTGTGTATAGGTGCAAACTATTCTGGTAACCTGACAGAAATGTAATGATCTAAAAATGTAAAGCTAAATTATTTTTAAAGGCAGTTGAACTCTTCTATTAATCAGTAGCAAAAATACAAATTAGTCATTTTTATGCTTGTATTAAATAATCTAAATGTTATTTATAATAATATAAATGCTAAAGTTTTGAAAGTACTGTCTGTTTATGATGTCACTGTTAAGTAAGATATGTGTTTATGCCCCATTTATCACTCATATTAATGTGAATTTTGCCCAGGCAAGGAGTTCAAGATTGGGATTTTAGACCTAAATAATGGCTTTTAGTGCTGATAGTCCAAATTCAGTTTAGATTTTAAAAGAAATTAGATAAATACAATAATTGATGGCCAATTGAAATCAGTTGTTACACTGGATTTACAGTCTGCACAGCAGACAAGCAATAATATTGGAGTCATAAAAGACAGCTGTATAGATTACATAAAAGTAAATTAAAGGAATTATTTTAACATTTTAAGGTAGCAAACATTTCACTTCTTATTCAGTTTCTCTGTTTGGAGCAGACAGAAAAAAATGCTTAATTAGGTTTCACAACAGTATTAATATATTCTCTCATACACGTAGCACTTGTCTTTTGCTATGTTTAGAAAAGGGGTCAAAATGCTTGTACAGGATAAAGAAACTAGCAACACTGCGAAGTACAATGTTCTTCATCTGCTGCCCAAACGTGAGGCACAAGTGTCATGTAATATTCTCACTACTCTTTTAGTCCTTTGAACTCCATTCTAGGGGGGAGCATTGGTGGCTTAGAGCTAGTGGTTTTATTTTCCTTCTGAGATACCAGCTCTAGGTCCATTTATGATGCTTATTGGCAAGTGATTGGAGGCTGCTATTCAACCAGTAAACCTTGTAAAAATAATTTAATTAAATTTAGCCGACGCCTAAAGCTGAATGAACGCAACTGAAAGTGTCTCTTTCATGCAGCTGGCTCCCATCTGTAGATATAGATTTCCAGCATTTCACTAGTTCAGCTATCCCCTATAAGAAATTTGACCCTTTACAATCTCAGATCTGTTAGACCTTGTGACCCTAAGATTATTTATTGTTCAACACTATTGTGCCAGATTTTGTCAAATGTGCGATATTTTCCATTGTTCACTTCTCGGTTCAAAAACACCAATCTCCTTGCCAACAGACCTAAACACGAAGTGTACGTTAGTTGTCCAGAGGAAAAAGACACCATTATTTTTGCAAAGTCACTAGAGTTTTCACAGAATATTGGTAGCTTTAAAAAAAAAGATCGAAACAAAAGATGTACTCAAATAGTCACTGCTTCTTCAGGTCCCTGTGAATAAGCATTCACAAGACCTATGCCATGTGGGTACCTTATTACAGTATCTTTTCGCTCCTTATTATATATATTGTAATATATTTTAGTGAGGCTGATGCGTGGCCCAATCCTGTCTTCTTTGAACTCAATAGGAGTTTTGCCATTGACTTAAAGGGAAAAGATCAGGCTTGTGATACCAAGGCGAGCAATACATACCGTATAGCAATGTACTCTGGGTATTAACAACTTTTCACTTCTATAGGGCTTTTCTTCAGAAGCTCTTGGCACTTTACAATTATTATTTAAATAAGCATCGAAAAGCTCTTTGTGAAGCAGATGCTAGTATATCTTAACAGACAGGTAAACTAAATCAAATAGAGAGCGCAAACAACTTGCCCAAGATCAGAGCAAGTCAGTGATTCCCAGTCAGCCCTGCTCTAACTCCCAGACCATAGTTGCACTAATATTAGAGACTTCTGATAAAAATAATTACAAAAATGTAATGTGACTCATCAGTCATTTTAAAAATATAATAATTCTCTCCACACACTAGAATGTTTTGATCATCTTACTTGAACAGTTTGGTTTTATAATGCTGCACCTGCAGATGGAAGAAGTGTCTATTTATATCCATATATTTATTTAGCATTCTCTGTAGTAAATATTTACTCCTCTTTGGGGGACTATTAATGTACCAATTAATACAGATCATTATATTATATGAAAACTTCTGCTAATGGCTTATTGAATTTCAGTAGTGGCTAGATATAAAATCTGTGTTAGAGATGATAGGCCCAAACTAAAATCTTTGATCCAAGCCTAGATACAGTTCAGAATTCAGTTTGAATGTATCTCTCTACCTGAATTAGAACATCTCAACATTTGAGAAAATTTAGATTTTTGAATCCTCAGCCTTGGGAGCATTCCTATCTGAGATTCTGGTTTCAGCCCATCTCTGCTGTATACTTCACAATGCATTCTCACCTTAGTGCGCACACATATCTAGGGACCCAAGGGAGAATACTCCAAGACAGAGTCAAAATTGCAAAAAAAATGGTGTGATATCAGTTGTCAGAGTAGATTAAATTCTAGTCTCACTTCTCTGTTACTTTTTAATATACTCCATAGGCTAAAATAATTAATAGTGCAGCCTTGCAAAGAGAAGTTGATATAATAAACAGTTTACTGTACAAAAGTACACTGTACAGTAGACTCCTTACCATCCAAAGCCCTGTGTCTAAGAAACTACCAGCATGTCTCCCTGTTTTATTGACTCCTGGTTACCAGATCTCTCAAGTATCTGAATATATTTGGTGTCTTGAGTAACATGGATTTCTATAGTACTATAACAAGGTTAATCAGTTTCACATAACTATATATGACATCAGTTTGAGTCATGGCAAGTAATAAGAGCATCTAAAAAAAATTTTAAATACTGATCTATGTAGTTAGTCAGCCAGACTATTAGGCATTTAAGTCACCCTCATGGTTTTGATTAAAAATTATTTCAGTTATGATTAAATTGCTTCTTAAATTGCATGGACTGAGGTAGCCACCTTTTGATTTGGAGAGGGCGGGAGGTCATATTTGGAGGCTCAATTAATAAAGGAGTAATAAATTATTAAAAGCTGTTCTCATTGTTTACTGAATAGTCAATAGTTAGAGTCCAACAGGTTATAGATTGCATATTACTATGGCTTATAACCAATAACACCGTTTACTAATATGCCTACAACAGATACTACTCAAATCCGTAAACATGTTTATGACATCTATTAATTAATAATAAACACTTTATAAACAGAACCTTTCTACATAGAAACTGTACTTTTAAAATAAAGGTCACTACTATGCCATGTGCGTCATGGCCTACCATAGCTGATAAAAGCAACAACAAAATCAGTCTAGCTAACCCTTTTGTATTTTCTCTCTGAAGGTCTGGTTTCAAAACAGAAGGGCAAAATGGAGGAAACGTGAAAAAACTGAAATGTTAGGGAACGTTCCAGGACTCTCCTTAACGCATCCATTGGGTCTGTTCTTGGACATTCCATTGAGTCAGTCTCCTCTTCTGGACCATGCATGGAGATCAATGCCACTTTCAACAATAGCTATGCCATCTGTAACTCCAGCATTCAGCCCTGCAAGCTTAGGGCCGTTTGGTCTCAGCAGTCTTGCCTGGACATCTCTCTTCAGAAATCCAGTTTTAAGTCCCCATTTTGGAAGGTACAGAGAGTGTATTTTAAGTATTTTTCTTTTAAACCTCAAGGTTTTTTGTTTTATCTATCCCTTTCTTTTAAACTTTGAGGTGTAAAAGAAAGGGATAGATAATAAGACAAAAAATACCATATTGCCTCTATATACTTCTATGATATGCCCACATCTTGAATACTGCATGCAGATGTGGTCACCCCATCTCAAAAAAGATATATTGGAATTGGAACAGGTCCAGAAAAGGGAAACAAAAATTATTAGGGGTATGGAATGGCTGCCATATGAGGAGAGATTAATATGCCTGGAACTTTTCACCTTGGAAAAGAGACGACTAAGGGGGAATATGATAGAGGTCTATAAAATCATGACTGGTGTGGAGAAAGTAAATAAGGAAATGTTATTTACTCTACTCCTTCTCATAACACAAGAACTAGGGGTCACCAAATGAAATTAATAGGCAGCAGGTTTAGAACAAACAAAAGGAAGTATTTTTTCACACAACACACAGTCAACCTGTGGAACTCCTGGTGAGAGGATGTTGTGAAGGCCAAGACCATAACAGGGTTCAAAAAAAGAACTAGATAAGTTCATGGAGGATAGGTTCATCAATGGCTATTAGCCAGGTTGGGCAGGGATGGTGTCCCTACCCTCTGTTTGCCAGAGGCTGGGAATGGGCAACAGGGGATGGATCACTTGATGATTACCTGTTCTGTTCATTCCCTCTGAGGCTCCTGGCATTGGCCAATGTCGGAAGACAGGATACTGGGCTAGATGGACCTTTGGTCTGACGCAGTATGGATGTTCTTATGCAGTACAATAGCTTAATAGCAGTAAGCAATTCACAGGTGCCTTAAATAAATGTGTGTTCCAGTGTTACAGTATGGATTCTGTCTATTTAAAGGAATAATATAAAAAGTTATTTAAAAGGCCAGCTCCCACATGTCTTACTCACTGGGACAACTTGAGTAAAATAAGCAGGATTTGGCCCTAAATTAGCTGTAAACCCTAGTGAAAGTCATTCAACATAGTTACTGTTTAAAGTGCAGTTGTGCATGTTGGGTGAAATCCTGGCCCCATTGAAGTCAGTGGGCCCTTGTCTTCATGACAGACTGTTCTAATGTAGACCGACTATGGACTCTAGTCTGATCTCGTATATACAGGTGTATATTTCACATGCTAAAATCTACGACAACAGATATAGATATGAGCTCTCGAGGTGGCTCTACAAAACAGAATTGTACTGGATGTTCCCACACAGGGGAGCAGAACATGGCCCCTGTTCCCAGATTGCCAATGACAGAGCTGACATCATTCGCTTTCATTTCAGGGCCATACTTGTACCGTTAACATTTCCTTTACTGAAGACACATGTGCCCAGTCCCAATGGGAGTTTTGCCATTGACTACAATAAGCACAGGGTTGAGTTCAGAGTCTTCTTTCCCAGCCTCCAAGACCTCAGGGGAGATCCTGAACCTGCGTCCATTGTCAGCGCTCCATTGAATTCTGTGGAGCTCTGATGATTTATAATAGCTGAAGATCGGCTCCTCAGTCTCGCTTGCTCCAAGTGCTGAAATTAAACAACCGAAAGCTGCTGCTGTGTTAGCACTGTATACTCCTCTCCCTCCTGAAATGACAGCCTATATTATAGCCTCCGATTAATGAGCACACCCTTCTGCCATGCATTTTATCCTGCTTTTCACATGAAATAACTTGTCACAACAAATTGGTTGCACAGTGACCTATCTGAAAATTGTTCCCTTCATGAAGTATTCTGATGTTTCCACGGAGCGTGCTGATCTCCCGCATTACAAGGTTTGCTTAGAAAGGATGTAACATGTTAAGAGAGTGACAGCAAATTTAACAAACTGACTTCTAGATAGCTGCATGCAATGCAGTGGTATGAACATCTCTCTTCTATGCTGCATTCACAGTTTAGTAAGTGATATTTATTAGGTGCAATGTGGATTTGCCTATTGTGCTAAAAAAAAAGCTACAAGTTAATGAACAAAAAAATATAAGTTTGGAACAAAGAAGAAGTTTGGTTTAAAAAAAAATTCAACCCAGTTTAGTACTGTGGTTATTAATAAGATAAATATTTCTTCTACAAAATACTTCTAGGTTTGTTACTATTGACTTTTTTTCCCCAAATATAGATTTCTCAATGCTTTAAATCCTCTCATGACAACAGCTTCAGTCTTAATGAAAGCGCCAGGACCCCCATCAGACCCTGCTCTCACTGCCTTCACTGATCCGGCAGCAGTTGAAAGGAAAACGTCGAGCATTGCAGCACTAAGGCTCAAAGCGAAAGAACATTCAGCACAAATCCCTCAATTAAACCTCCTATCCAGTCTTACAAACACTAACAAAGAACTTTGTTAGGAACTTTCCCGCAGACTGCAGTAGCATAGGAGAAAGCAAATGCCTTCTCCCATAAGTGGATCCAGTTATACAGAGGCATATAAAAAAAAACCCCACCCATCCGTAGGTCTTCCATCTGCAAGATGGACTGATGGAAATTTTAATCCTGCTAAAAATAGCTTTCCTTTATTGTAACACAAAATTGTGCGGTCATGTAGCAAATTGATAAATGACTACCTATGGTGAATTTTTGACATTACAAAAGATATACATCAGGAATTGACTCTTCTACATAAATAAAACTAATGTAAAGAACGAGTTTCCTGTGAAACCCCATGATGTACTGGACATTAGCACAACGGTTGAAAATCCTGTGTAGAAATAACTCTGGAGTTTTATAAACAATCCTTAAATCATGTCTCAGGAGGAACTGTGTAACTACAATTGTTTAGACTAGTTAAGAATCAATATATGGTATGTTCTTAATTTAAAGATCATGCTTCACGTTGAAGTACAAATGCCAGTGAAATTTCACAAAGTAAACAGAATGATCAGGAATGAGGTGTGAAATATTTTGAATTTTGGGCTTTGATTCAAAACTAGGTTTGTACAAAATGTATCTTGTTTCAAACTAAAATAAACAAAAATAGTTTGCCTATATGTTCAATGCGGCAATGTTTTAATAATTATATCCTAAGCTTTAGTCTTTGACGATAGATCACTTTGTAAAATGAAAGTTGTGTCCTGTAAGAAATAGTTGTTTCTGTGCAGTAAATTGTGTGTAATTCAATATATATTGGTGAGTAGTTACTAGTTTTAACCGCAAGGTTTCTGGCTGTTTTTAGTGTGACTGGTGGCAAATAGTAGCAGACCATTATCATTAAGTTAACTCTCATTATTTGTAAATCTCTTTCAAAGTATATTGTATGCCTAAGTACATTCAGATTGCAGTGAAACTTATTAATGGGTCTTTAAAAAATGTCCTTGAAATGATTATTGGGAAGAGTAAAAAATGAGGTTCTGGCGACTAGACATTAAATTTACAAAAACCCTTGGGCAAGCCCTTTGCTGTGTCTGCCTCAGTTTCCCCAGCTGTAAAATGGGGGTGAGAAGAACAACACCTAGCTCTTCTATAGCTCTTGATCTAGAAATACCAAAGTGTGTTATAAAGGAGGGTAAGTATCATCCCATTTTACACTTGCCTATCTCACAGGGCGGTTGTGAGGACTAAATGAATGTTCCAAACACCATGCAAATGTAAAAGAGCTATATTAGTGTGAAGCATTGTATGTTAATTGGTATCCTCATTGGCAGTCACAGCCGAGGCACCAAGGACTGAACATAGATTCATAGATATTACGGTCAGAAGGGACCATTATGATCATCTAGTCTGACCTCCTGCACAACGCAGGCCACAGAATCTCACCCACCCACTCCTGCAAAAAACCTCTCACCTATGTCTGAGCTATTGAAGTCCTCAAATCATGGTTTAAAGACTTCAAGGAGCAGAGAATCCTCCAGTAAGTGACAGACATGGAGACCAAGCTTTCGTCTCATCCCTAGAGGTCCCTCCGCAGAGGCTTTGAGTATTGTACATTGTGGGACAGGGTGGAGAATCTTTCACAGATGCTGCCTATGGTTCTCCTGTTCCATCAAGACCATTCTGATGCACTAACGTCACTTAGAAAATACAGAAAAAGCATTCAGTGTCCCCCACACCGCTGTAAGATTTTTTTCCCCAGGTGCTTAATGCTCTGTAAAAATCACACTACTGTATCTTGACTCAAACTACAATCAACCTACCATAGCCCCTGTGACATCTCTTGATAACATTTACTCTGAATGGGATTAATAATGTTATCAATACTGTTGCAGTGAGCTTGGAACGTAGAACCCCTACCTACCCTAATTTCTGCTTTTGTAGATGTCTCTAAACCTTGACTGTATTACATTTTGTACATTATACAGAAGGCTTCTTGGTTAATTAGATTGTTCACTTCCCTTACCTTCCAAAACTGCTTTTATCCTAGTTTGTGGTCTGACTGCAGTAAAAGTTGCATATGCATCTACATAACGTCACCTTTGCATATGAGTGAGAGTAGAGAAATATTTTAGGTCTGTAGACCAGTGTAGCTGTTCTCCCAGCCATAACAGGGTAGCAAGTTACCTCTAGGAAAAGTAAATTACATCTTCCAAAGTTAACGCGATCTCACTCTGTGGGTCAATGAGCAGGAAAGCTTAGGAGTAATGCAATTTGTACCTTTCCTCACAAAAGCCTGAGTGTGTTTCTTCCAAAACAGCTCCTCCTTTCAACCCATCCACTCCCAACCTCCAGGCTGCCAACTGGCAACACAGCACATTGCCTGTGTAAGCTCCGGTCTTGTGCTGAATTACCTTTTTATAAAGTAGGACAGTTTGTAAACTGTCATTACACAAGTTGTAGTTCTTTCTACACATGGTTCCTTGTGTTCTTCCTCTGTAATTAATGCTCAGTTTCTTGAAAAGGCTAGAAAATTCTGCAAGGAAAGCACATTCTGTACTTTTTTTAAAAAAGTAACAAGAAATGTCTAAGTATGCTAGGTGCATTAGATATTGCTCCTGCGTTCACCAATGCATTGCTTAAATGAACTCATCCAATAGCTATTCAAAACAGAATTTGCCTATTTAAAAAAAAAATCCCAGCTGTTCCTGCTAATTATCATTCTGCAGAGCAGTATCCATAAGATAAATAGTGTCAAAAATACTTTTGAAGAAGGCACTCCTATATTTCAACATATTGGGTGAAATCCTAGCCCCACTGTAGTTAATGGTAGTCTTGTCATTGACATCAGTGGGGTCAAGATTTCACCTTCTGGGTCAAATTCAAATTCCATTACTTTCCATAATTACAACAGGGATGAATTTGGCCCAGCAAGTCGCTAAACTTTCCCCCTACATATAGAACTCCCATGTGCATTCACAGTTAGGTAAAAATGAGTTTAGCAAAATAAGCAATGCCAGGAGGTGAGTTACTCTGCTTTAGGCATACTTGTTTAGAAGTATAGGATCTGCAGACGGACCATGGAAGGTTTCACAAAGGAAGGAACTGGATGGGATGAGAAGAGAAGCTTTGAAAGTCAACTGGGACAGGACGCTGTTGTGAGAAAGCCCATGGTAACGTGAAGTCACACGCTTTCCCGGCAGGGGAGTAAAACAAAAGAGGAAATTAACAGTTTTAAAGTTCAGGGCAGCTTGATGGTTCAGTGATTTGCAGGATTACCCTGCTATCTGGATACATGTGGTCAATTAAATTTGGCTACCCCATACAATAAGTTTCAAGGATCTCCTACAGTTCCCTACAGAATCACTGTCTGTTCAGCTGAAGCCTGGAAACACAGGCCTTCATTTGATAGATCAGGCTTCAGGACCACAGAAAAGTCTGTGAACCCAAAATTATTTATGCTAATCTTGCCCTGGTACAAATTCAATAATAGGCCCTAGCTCCTACATTGTACTTTTCATCCATGGATCTGAAAGCAAGGTAAATATCCTTTTAACCCATTTTACAGCTACAGAAACCAAGCCACAAAGAGGCAGAACTGTTTACCCACGGTCACACAGCACATCCACTCCATGTCAGAGCTGGGAATAGAGTCCAAATTTGCTGCGTCCCAGTCTAGAGCCCTCTCCTACTGGCCCACACTTCCTCTCTGACTGGTGAATCCCTATATATTGAATGTTTGACCAGGTTGTTAACATGTCAGATCAACAGGGCTATATTGATACACGGCAGTACATATGGAAGCTGATACCCCTACCTGCCAGAGCTGAGGTTGCTTTACTTTGTGCTACTCCGCCAGACCCTCACTTCCATAATCACAAAAATTTCCCATCAGTCACCCAAACTTTGCTTTTAATAAGCAGAGCGTACAAAGGCCGCGAAGGAAAGATGCTCTACCAAGCACTTAAAATTGCAGTTTTGTTATTGAAATAAATGCTAGAGATGACCCGTGCCTGCCAATGGGGGGGAGAGAGGGGGAAGGGGAGACACAGTGAGGGCAGCGGCTTCAGCAGATGTTAGTGAGCATGCTCAATCCGTGTGATCATGCTCAGTACAAGCCAAGCAAATTGGGCAGGGGACATGACCCCCAACGTGCCGCCCCCCATGCGTCGCCTCTGAATAAAACTCAAGTCACACTTGTTTTCAGCAGGCTCCTTTGTACTTCCTCCCATGCTGCCCTTTATGGGTGGGAGGAGCTTCCTGTCAATAGCTGCAAAGCCACCTCAGTGTCCTCCTTCAAACTCTTCTCTACCACAAGGCCTATGAACAGCTCAATCAGAACGAGGCAGCTGGTTTGCCCACAATGCGGACCACTATCATCCCACTGCTTGCTTGTGCGCCCCCATGTCTTCTTCTTGTACCTTCCTGGTGTCTATAGTGTTCTACTTCGATTGTAAGCCTGAGTCAAGGTCCATCTCTCTGATGTATATTTGTACAGTGCCAAACACTTGTGGCCTCTGGGAGCTATGTCACTCCAGATATTAATTTTAAATATTACTTAGTTTGGTATTAATTGAATTATACCACAGATCAGAGAGGCCTCCAGTGAAAGGAATTATGGGGGAATGTAACAGAGGCTACCAGTCCACAGAGCACTCAGATGGAAACTGGTGTATCGTGCATTAAATGTTTCCTAGCAGAGCATGCCTCAATAATTTCCTGCCCATTTTCCTTTGAAACCATAGAGAAATTTTATTTAAACTGATTTAATTTTCTCTGCTTTAATGAGTTTTTCAAAAAGTTTCCATTCCGCTGCGTGAACTGAAAAGCCAGCTGTGAGAGCTAATAACATTATGAAAGTCAATATGTATGCGCAACACTTGAAACCGGCTTAGGAATCAAAGCACATCTGTAACCAAAACTGTGCCTTGTTTGAACTCCCAGAAGCTTCTTTTGTTGCTGTTACAGATCAATGTTTTGTTATTAACTATAACACCAAAGGAGGAGGGTTTGCTTAGAACCACCTTCTCATTTTAAGTTTTCAGAGGCAGTGGAGGCTAAAATACAAACTAATATATATATAGACACACACACAGTTATTAAACCTTCATTTTTAAAAACATACTGGTGCATTCTCTCAAAGTCTCAGGTGGATTTAAGGGTCTGATCCAAAGCCAATCATCAATCAATGGGAGACTTTCCATTGATTTTATCAATAGGCTACGGATCAGGCCCACTCTGCTTAACTCCCGTTTTCATTACCAGGGGGCTGCATGCATATACCAGATGCACAGTAAAAGAAGAAGAATTCCCCCATAGTGTTGCTTTAATTACTTTTTTTTTTTTTTTTTTTTTTTTTTAAAAAGCACCAAGCTGAAAATCCTTCAGTCTGGGTCTGGATTCATAGCCGTGCATCTGTCAGCATTTTTATCATGAGTTATGCAGAAATGTACTTTTACAATTTATTTCAATGCAATATGAAGCATGCCATATCTAGAATATGCAGAATATCCCTTTCAGGGAAGAGTTGTCACACTGAACATATATGAATTATTCTCCAACACTTGATGTTGCCACGTAGACCAAATCATACAGTCCTTACTTAGGGAAAATGCCTATTGACCTGGATTAAGGTCGCATAATTTGGCCCTGTGCTGCTCTGTTGCTCTAGGATTTGAGT